GGCAGATGTCCATCACTGAGTACAGATACTCATGGTTGGATGGATGCAGAGTGGCAGATGGTTCTCTATGAAACTTATTGTATGTTATATTGGCTTACATGTTCTGCTCTCTCATCAGGTTTTATAGTCTCCTTTGGGACAATGGCTTAGACTTATTCAACCCTGTTTTTTTCTGTCAGGTTTTAGCTACTTCGCCCTGAGTAGGCACATTTAAATGGATAAATGAATGACTAAAAGATACACCTGCGTTTTCCAAATATTAGTGTAATACTGGAAGTATCCAGGAAATAGAGCTGGTGATGGGGAGTTAAAACCTAATGACAGCAGTATTTAATGAAAAGAAGGAATGTGATGCAGCTATGAAAAGACTGTGAAGTAAGCATTAACAAGGTGGGTGGAGCACAGATTTTATGGAATCAGTCAGCAAGTTTTATTAAGAGCCTCCCAGGACCCAGCCCTCTATTCTTTACTGTTGGGACTTGAAGAGAAGAAGGATGTGGGATGGCTCTTGAAGACCTTATAACCTGGTCGTTGAATCCAGACCTTATACAGCTAGGTGAAAAATCATATGGCCGTGACTCTAAGCCTTCTAGCATGTGAGTTAACAGTGTAGGCTCTGAAGTAAAAAAAAAAAAAAAAATGCCTGGATGTGAATCCAGGCTCTGCCAAGTGGTCTTTGGATAACCTTGGGCAAGTTGTTTTCTCAGTACCTCGTTTATTCATCTTTAAAATTATGAAAATAGTTGTCCCACATTGTAGGCTGTTATCAGGATTAAATGAGTTAATATATGTGAAACACTAAGAAGCGTTTGACGCATAGACATAGCCCCTACGTGTTGAGCACTATCATATTCAGAAGAAAGTGTGAGAGTATGCGCTAGGCAGATAGGATAGAGAAGGCACACTATAGGGTAGCTGCTCATATCTAGATAATTCCTCCCAGCAGCTATGTTCTCCTTACCTCATGACCCCTACCTGTGTTGAACTGAAGAGAGGGACTTGTTGAGCAAAGCTGGAACAATCAAACTCTCCCACTTAGGCATTTGACATTAAAAAGAGAGACACAGGAATTGAGATTAGAAGGAGCAGAGTCGCATTAGTGGCATCAGCTTGGCAAAAAGACCCACAAAGTCCTTTTCCCTGAAGTCTTTGTAGTTCTCTTGGCTGTTTTTTCTGAAGTTCAAGTGTTTAATTTCTCATTTGAATTGTGACTACTCCATTATCTTTCCAATAAATCCTCATTTCAACCAAAGAGCAAAAGTTGCTGCCTATAGCTTACAAACACATACATTTTTGGATATGTAAATAGACTCCAGGCTCAATGGAGCTGCTTCAGGGAAGATCTTATGTCATAGAGCTTTCAGCTATTAAACAGGTCATTAATTCATCTATTTACTAAGCTGACATTTAGTGAGCACGTTCTGTTTTAGTGTTGCTAAGTCTTACGATTACACAGATAATTCAGACACAATCCTACCTTCAAGGAGCTTGAGTCTTGTAGCCAAGAGATTTATGTGCCAGATTCAGAAGAGAAAGGGATTAGGTTCATTTGAGGAGTTTAGGTGAAGTGACTGGGTGAAGGGTGATACCATCAAGTATTGTTGGATTTGGACAAGAAGTGGGGTCTTCAGAGAAGTAACCCAGTCCCCTTCGAGTGAGGGCTTGAACTTCTACCTTTATGCCTCTCTGATTAAGTACCTCCAAATGATTCCCTTCAAAACAAAAACTTTGGAAATGGAAATCTTTGGGGCTGGTGGAAATCTCATTAGAAACATGTGCTATTCTATTTATTTGTTAAAGGAAGATAACATATGCCTCTCCTAATTTTGTTTGTTCAATTTTAAAGTTTTAGCATGGTATAGTATTTTCAAGTGTAAAGAATTTTCGCATTCTGTCCACTCATTTATTTTTTTTAATTTTGAAATACTTTTATGTTAGTTGATCTTTTCAATTTTATTTCTCATTATTCTATAAACACTATACTCCAGCCATCATGGTAGCAACCCTTACATACTTCATATTTTCCTCCCTCTGTGCCTTTGTTCTCACTCTTCTTCTCCCCATCTCCTGAAGTAATTCCTTTTCATGATTTCACGCATAAATCATTCTTACCTTTCTAAGTTCAACTGAAATGTTGGTCACTCTGTGAAAAATTTTATCCCTCTTTCAACTGGTTATTTTTCTTTAAAATTCCCAAACATGTTATCTGTAATCCTTTTTATAGATTGTGTTACTTGATACCTCATGTTGTAGTTATTATCTTCAAAAGTTATCTGCCTTTCTAAAGCTGATTGAGGGCATTCAAACAGAATATTCTAGAGGCTCAGTCTCATCTCTCCCTTGGTAGCTGCTGCTCAAGGAGCCTTCAGATATCTTCCAGTTTCCAAGATTAAAAAAAAAAATGAATATTCTTGTAAGTTCTGATACGTGAAATGTAGATTTTCTGGTTGGCTTGATTGGTAGAAGAGAAAGAGATGAATTTCAGAGAAGGAATCAGTTAACATAAGCCTTGGACAGAGACAGTAGGAAGGAAGGAGGAAAGAGAACAAAACAGATAAGTTGAGATAATCAGGCAAAGACACCTCCATGACTAAGCCAACATGAGGAAAGAAGGATAAGGAAGAGGAGCAGGCTGGGCTCCAAAGGTCATGACCCAAGTAGAAAATGGGTAATAGGTTGGGTTCCCCAGGAAACAGTCTGATAGGGATATTAGCATGCAGATGCTTTCTTACAGGGTGTTTTTGGAATCAGTATATGTGGAAGGGAAGGGAAGGAAATAGGATTGGGAAGTGGGAGATGTCATGCTGCAATGAAGTCTCAATAGAATCCTCAGCTGACCTGGTAGGGAATCCTGAAGATGAGATGAATTTTCAGAGTTGCTCTGAGTTAGGGCAAGAAGGATAAGCCTTTGTGCCCAAGCATTAAGCAGTCATGGGTGTAGGCTGCCCCAGGCAAGGAGCATGCCTTCTGGCAAGGAGATCCCTTTCATCAGAGGTACTCACAAAAGGTATTGACAGACAAGGGCTGTCTGCCAGCAGCACTTCCAGCAGCTGGAGTAATAAGTCTTTAACTGTGGAAGGGGATCTGGGCAAGACATCATCATGTCCAGCAAAAGGTGTTTGGGTGCCTAGGGGCCATGTGGGTGAACTGGAAGACAAAGTGATGAGGTTATAAAATTAGTTTTCAGCTTCTGAACCTTGGGCCTAAGTATCCTCAATAGGGCTTAGTTTCCATCAGTCAATACACTGGTGATCAAGATTATCATATCAGTAGTGACCTCTATTCAATTATGAAAATGCAGCATTACTCATTGGCCTATTTCTGATGGGAACAATGCCAAACAACCCAGCATTATGTGCACAGTGCCTTGAACACAGTAGATTATTCAGCAAATGACTGTTGAATGAATGAAAGGCCAGCTAACCCCACTGAATTACTAGAGAGCTGAATATTCTGTTATATTTTGTGAATCACTCCTCATTGCCTTTGAAGACCCTTGCACTGTCTTCCCCATTTCAATCTTGGTTTATACCATCTTCATGGTCTCATGCTTGAGTTAATTTTTTTTTTTTTTTTGGATTTGGATGTTACCTCTTCCATACATTGTGTCTCCTCTTTGGAATTGGTGGGAGCTTTGCTTCTCTGTTCGTTTTGCACCTGAGGGTTGTGTGTATGCATGTTTGATCTTCAGCACATCTTTCTCCTGGCCTGGAATGAAAGTTTCTCCATTACAACATCCCATCTTCACCACTCAGGCAAAGACAGCTCCTTGTGAATACTCAAATAAAAGTGCGTATGTTATAAAACCAGTATTATCCCAATAAAATTACTTGGGAAAAAAAAGAAAAGAAAAATATTCTGAAAAATGAGGCATTAAAAGGGCAAAAACAGTGAAAAAAAAAGTGCATAATAAGGAGAAGCTGTTTCTTAGCAATGTCCTTTGGCCAGCTGCCTGGATTTTACCTATTCCTTTCCTCCTTGAGTCTAAGATTTGGGTGGTCTAGGGCTTGTTTCCTGGCTTTGGTAAAATCTAGACAGAATGGAAAAGTTGTGGGTTCAAAAGATGATGAACTAATTTGAGGATCAAAACAGACAGTCCTAGGGAGTCATACTTTGAAGAAGAGTAAAAGGGGATAGACTACAAATTAATTAACGTTCTCTAATCCTAAATTTTCTCATCTATAGAGATAGTATCTAATTCATATGTATTATTAGGATTAAATATAATATATGTACAAAACACTTAGTGTAGTAGCTGGTGCATAGTCTTCAATAAATTGGAATTTTATTGTTTAATATTAACAATTACTATTTCAATTAAAGAATGTAGGATAGAGTAATGTGCTAAATAGAATAGTAATCTCTTTAGAAGCAGTGAAAGATATGAAAAAAAGATGGCAACCAGTGATAGTAATGACAAAGTGGGCTTCAAATCCTCAGAGAACAGATATTTGTAATAGACTTATAAAACAAAGAGATAGGACACTGGACTGGGACTCAGGATAACTGACATTCAGGCAAGCATCTTCCCACAGAGATTTTGGGCAAACATTTCAACTTACTGAGGATCCATAGAAGAATCATATTTAAAATATTATGGAGGGGCTGGCCCCGTGGCCGAGTGGTTAAGTTCGCGCACTCCACTTCGGCCGCCCAGGGTTTCGCCGGTTCGGATCCTGAGCTCAGACATGACACCGCTCGTTAGGCCACTTTGAGGCGGCGTCCCACATACCACAACTGGAAGGACCCACAACTAAAATTTACAACTATGTACTTGGGGGATTTGGGGAGAAAAAGCAGAAAAAAATTTAAAAAATTAAATATTATGGAATATTTATTGCTCTTCACATATTTACAGTTCGCAAACATAATTCTCTGTATTTCTCAGTTTCCCTCATAGTTCAGTTCTGAATAGTTCTAAGCAATAAGCTGTGATCAGAAGTAATTGTGTGCTTAAGAACAGATGTGAGGTCTTCAAATTCTTTCTTCATTTGTTACAGTGATTATGGAGGGTGTGCGTTGAGATGAAGGAGCCACAAGATGGAACCAGATTTAAATACCTGAGTTACAACAAGGAAAAGAGTTGCCTCGGGGAGATACTGAACTTTCACTGTGAGCAATCTATTATGAGAACAGTAAACACACGATTATGTGTTAAGCCATTGAGATTGTGTTTGTTTGTTAATGGAAGGCAATATAGCCTATGCTGACTAACATAAATGTCGTGGGATTAACTGACATCTAAGATTTCTTCCAGCTCTAATCACTCTCATTCCAACCATTAGGATGAGTGGAGAATGTGAACACACTGTGCACAAACATACCTCTATCCTGTGTGTTGCCGCTGTGGAACTTAGGAATAGAATACACAGTGCATGTGTATTCTATTAGCATGAATAAATATTTCTATTACTGCTTTTAACTACTTTGTATCCCAAATACTCTAACTCGAAATAAGACTAATAAACAACAGCCAGTGTACTCATTTTTCAAAAAATACTAAGTAAAAGAGAAAGGAAAGTGGAAGAAAATTATTAAATTAGGATTCAGTAAGGCAAAGGAGGTGGAATGATTTAATGACATTCTTTTTAACTTTTTATTGAGATTTTGATAGTTTACGATCTTGAGAAATTTCATTTGTACATTATTGTTTGTCAGTGATTTAATGACATTCTTAAAATTGATAGAAATAATTCTAGAGTTTAGCAGCTAGGTTAAAAAATAAGTAGCTATGTATGGCTCTATACAGTAAGAGTGTTGTGTCTAAAACACAGATCATGTACAAATACTAGGGAGCTTCAACTGATGGCAAAGTCAATCTGAATCAACAGTGTACATTTTGCCAAGAACAGCCACAATGCACACACACACACACACACAGATACACATATGCTCAACCTCTACATCTATGCAAATTTTAACTGTATTAATAATATTAGAGCTAACTGGCTCTCAGCTTGAGTTTGAAGTAAAATATCTCTTATGATCTGGATAAATTTAGAAAAGTTATTTAGTATCTCTAAGCCTCAATTCCTAAATTGTACAAAGGAGATAACAGTGGAAGAGTAGTACCTATCTCATGGGATTATTCTGAGGAATAATCGATAATGATGTATGTAAAATGTATAACATAATGCTTGGCCAAGAGGAAGTGCTAATAAATGTTACCTATCAACATAATTAAATCACCTCAAAGGAAAGAGTAGCCTTCATGTGATAGAAGACTGTTTACCTTTCTGGCTGCCAAAACCATATCTTTGGGATAATGTTAAGGTGGCTTCTGTATTGATGTGGTATTTTGGACCAAACTACTTTCCAGTTGAAGATTATTTGATAATATGTTTTCTTCAGACCTCCCTTTCATAAAGAGGCTTTCCTACAAAATGAAATACCCTGCCATAGACTGAAAATGGGCATTGGTTCCTGTCTCTCTCCACCCAGCCCAGGAGAGGCATCACTTACTCACTTCTCAAAAGGGGTAAGCTAACGGTGTGATCTTCAACAGAGACTGGGAAGGGACATAATGGCTCTCTGATCAGCATTTGGGATTTTCTCACGTAAGTTCATAGTGCATAACTTTTTTGGAAGGAGTAAAAATGGATCTATTTTCTAAATGCCTAATGATGTGTAAAAAAAATGAAGACCCTTGTCTACTGCACACAGTAATTGGAAGACTCACTTAAAATATGTTTCTATAATTAAAATTGACACTAATCATAAGAAAGTTGGAGTGACTATATGAATATCAGACAAAGTAGACTTCAAAACAAGAAATATTACCAGGTGTATACAGAGACAGTTCAAGGTGATAAAGGGGTCAATCCACCAAGAAAACATAACAATTCTAAGTATATATGCTCCTAAAACGAGAGCTTGGAAATACATTAAGCAAAAGCTGATAGAACTGAAAAAGAGACATAAACAAATCCACAGTCATATTTAGAAATTACAACACTCCTATCTCAATAATTGATAGAAAAGGTAGACAAGTATATTCAGTGGGATTAGGAATTTAACAAATGGTATAAATGAATATTTGTACCTCTACTACTTACACAAAAATGAACTCCATGGAGATATTATGGCCATAAATGTAAAAGCAAAAGCCATAAATGTTTTAGAAGGAATCACAGGAGGAAACCTTTGTGTCTTTGGATTAAGCGTATATATGTTAGATAAGACACAAAGAGCTGTAACCATGAAATAAACGTTTTCAACATATTGGACCATATCAAAAATTTAAAAAATTATGCTCATCCAAAGATACCACTAAATAAATGGATATCTGAGCCACAGACTGGAAAAAATATTTGCAAAATATTATACTAATGATAGACTTGAATAAAGGATATATAAAGAAATCCTACAAACCAATAACACAAAAACAAACAACCCAATAAAAATAAGCAAAAGTCTTGCACAGATATTTCTTAAAGGAAAATATGCATGTAGTTGGTAAGCCTATCAAGCTCATCATCGTTAGTTATCAATGACATCTAAATAGAAATCACAAATAGATACCATTTCTTACTCATTATAGTGGCTAACATCAAAAAGGCTGACTGTACCCGCTGACGGCCAGGATGTGGAGCAACTGGAACTCTCATACGTTGATGGTGGAAATATGAATGGCACAATCATTGTCTTGTAGCCATTCTTCTCCCAGTTATTTACCCAAGAGGAATGAAAAAATATGGCTACAAAAATATTGTACAAAATTATTCATAGAGGCTGATTTATAATAGCCAAAAACCAGAATCAGGTCAGGTATTTATCAACAGGTAAAATAGATAAAGAAATTGTGGTATATTCAAACAATAGAATACTACTCAACAAGAAATAAGAACAAACTGCTGATACATGCATAACGTGAATGAGTCGCCAAAGCATAAAGTTGAGTGGAAGAATCCAGACATAAAAGAAATACTTTAGATTTCGTTTTTATATGAAATTCCAGAACTGTGAAAAGTAATCTATGTTGATAGAAATCAGTAAATAGTTGCCTCTTTGGGCAAGGAGATGAGGTGACAAATGATTAGAAATGGCCAGGAGAAAACTTTCTGTGATTATGTAAATATTCTATATTTAGCTTTAGGTGGTATTTCCCTAGGTATGCAAATTAAAACTCATTCAAATGAACTTATAAGATTTTGAATTTTAGTGTATGTAAATTACTTCTAAATTTTAAAATAAAAATAATTTTTAAAAGAGTTGCTCTGAAGTGGAGGTTGGGAGAGAGAGATAGAGAAAGAAAGAGATGGGGAGACAGTTTTTCTGGTTTTGTTTTGCTTTGCAATGAGTGCTTGAAAAATAAGCTTCCAGATTAGGAAAAAACAGATGGTCATGACTTTGTACATTTACACGTAAACATATGCACATGTACCGAAATCCGTGAAATTTGTTTTCAAAAAAATATTGATCTGAGTATTTGCTTCCTCAGATATGACTGAATTCTGGAATACATACCACTAATCGTAGGGAGATCAAAGGAGGCAGAAATAGGTAGAAATTGTATGAATTTCTTCCCACTATTTCCTACTCTCACCTTAGTCTTTGTGATAGCTCACAATAAGGGAGAAGAAAACATTAAAACTTTGCTAAATTATATCTAAGTTCTCCTTAGTTTCAAATCATTGAAAAAAGGCCAGTAGAAGTGAAAGGATCATTTGTAATGGGAATGCCTTGGGGAAAATCATCATGAAAAAGAATCTGGGAAGATTACAGTAATTTAGGGCTCAAAAATTGTTTGGAGGTTATTGGAAGAATTTCATCCCTGCTCCAAGCTATGTCGTCCCAGAACAGGTGAGTTTCCCTTTATCTTTGCCAAAGACACAAATCTTATGAGTTCCCCCAGAATACATCTTAGTGGGAAACAGCTCTCAGTTCCAGGAAATATTTACTAAGCAGGGACTGTATGACAGGCACCATGTAGATGCTTTATATAAAATATTCTCTCATTTAATCTTTACACCAACCGTACAAGGTGAGTCTTTTCATTATAATTTTACAAATCAGAAACCTGAGACTCAGAGAGTGTCTTATTTTGAGTTCCTTCAAAATCAGATCCTGAGGCAAGGATTTGCATAGTTCAGATGTGTGCAGTTTATTCGTGAGGTGGAGATAAGACTGGTGCAGATGTGAAGAATTAATACAGCAAAGGGAAGACTTTGGGAAAGGATGTATTATCAAGCTGGCTATGATTATCAGCTATTGGAATTTAATTCCATGGGAATGCATAAAACACATCCCTCAAGGTTTTCCAACCTAAGTGGTGGGGGAACTGGGGTATTTATACCTCACTCTATTAATTATTGGTTGAAGGATGCCCCTGGAGTTTTGATTCCCTGTCAATTATTCCCTCTCTTTGATGTGAGCAGCAAGCTTTCCAAAATGTCAGAAAATATCCTTTGATTATCAAAGAGATAAAGATACTGGCAGATGGAAGTCAGCTGGAGCCCAGTGAAAAAGTAAAATCCAAATGATATTGTAGGGGAATTGATAGTGTCTGTTACAGAAGGGTTAAGGAAATTGGCCAAGGAATACTTGTGCTCCCCAACAGTACTTATAAAAACATAACGATGATAAAAAAATGAACAAAAATAAATAACAAATATAATAAAATATCTCATTATGCTACAAGTAGATTCTAAAAAATGAATCACATGAAATGAAATGTGTTATTTCAAGATTAATGAAAAATTGTTTGGGATCAGCTTTATTGAGTACAATTTTCATTCAATAAAGTTTACCCATTTTAATAATACAGTTCAACAAATTTTGGCAAATGTGTAGAGTTGTGTTAACCATACTGTGATACAGATATAGAAACTTTTCATCACCTCCAAAATTACCCCTGAGCCATTTTGTAATCAATCTCTTCCCACAATGCCAGCCCCAGGTAACCACTGATCTGGATATTTTCTCAATCACTATTCATTTTCTTGTTAAGAATTTCTTATAAATGTGATCATACTATGTTGTCTTTTTTTTGTTCAGCTTCTTTAATTTGAGATTTACCCTTATTGTTGTGTGTATCAGTAGTTTATTCCTTTATATTGTTGCATAATATTTCCATTTATGGATATACCACAAATTGCTTATCCATTCGCTAGTTTATGGACATTTGGATTCTTTCTTTTTCACTATTAGAGTTAAATATGTAATGAATATTTGCATACAGGTTTTTTCATGGCCATATGTTTTCATTTCTCTCAAATGAAAATATAAGAGTGAGATTTTTGGATCATTTGGTAAGTGTATTTTTAATTTTACAAGAAACTGTTTTTAAAAGTAGGTGTACCTTATTGCATTCCCACCAGCTGTGTTTGATAATTCTAGGTGCTCCACATCCTTGCCCATACTTAATTTTAGTCATCCTAATATATATATAAAGGTACCTCATTTTGGTTTTTACTTCCAT